GGCGACAGCACAATCGATGCGCATCAAATGATGCAAGCATCATTCAATTGCTCGCATAAATGTATGTCTTTCTGAACGCTTGCCGAAGCACCAGAAATTGATGCGTATACATTGTGTATGCGAATATGTGTGTACACTTTAAAGTATAGATTTTAATTATGTTTATTTTAAATTGGCTTGATTGGAGAAACAGGTAAATATGTGCATGACCGATATCATCTTCTGTCTTATGGGCTTTCGCATTTTGGAAGTGCACGGATGTGTGAATGCCCTTCGATTAAATATACGACATGATAAAATAATGATCTTAATGGATTTTGTAATCAAATTTTGTGTTGTTTTTCTCTTGTGACGCTTCCGATGAACTGATGAAGAAAATCAATTTTACATTCAATTGAATACAGTATGTCAAGTTTAATTTTACACACTTAAAAAGAGCAAACAGCTGGTAGCTGATGATGATGCTGCTGCTCTCACTGCAATTGCTGGTAAAGTACTTGCGTTCCGATTTAAAGTCATCAATTATAGAATTTCGATTGGGAGTTAATAAATAACGAGAAAATGTGAATATACCATGAAATATTTAGGTGCCAATCATACGCTGAGTAAACAAAAACCAAAACTTTGCCTTCTCGTAAAACTTTGACATTTTCCCAGCGTTTATGGCACATAATAGACGGACAAGGTGTTAAACCCAATACAGTTTTCCCAACGGTGTCAAAAACAAATCAACGCAATAATAATAATACACACACATTCATAAATCAAAAACCTCATTATATCACTTAATTCCTAGTGGAAAATCAATTATTCATATATAGCTTCGAATGGGACGCTCTAAGCAGTATTTTTTTCTTCTTTAGAATATTTAAGTTACACACAACCGATGTACGTTTAATAATTAAAAGCTAATGTCGTATAGTTTAGAATAAATAGGACACGATGTGTGTGTGCATGTTTAGAGGTCTCTATTTTTAAACGAGTCATCAATTGTTGTTGTCATTCACATACAATAGTAAGTATTTTACCTCTTATCACCGGAATTTTCGTTTGTTCGTACCTGTATTTCGCATTTCAAAATCTGGATTGCTAATGATGAAATACATATTTTACCGTGATCAAAAGCATTCCATGATCCCGTACGTGTATATACACATTTCTAATAGCAAATAATTTTCACATCACAAAATCCTTTCGAAGAATTTATAGCCATTTGGCAGTGGAATCGTAACATGCGTTCGAACGTTTATCAAATTTTTATCATTCGCATCGTCTGTCAAATATTGAACTAATCGGAAGCTGCATTTTCGGAGCCAATATCAATGGATACAAAACAGTTGATTTGAATGTGAACGTTTCAATTGTGATTGCATTTGCATCCATTCGCTCTCCCCCTCGGCACACTCTTCACCAGTTGTCAGCCATTAATTAATTCACTTTAATTTATATTTAGCAAAGCAATTGTATTTTCAGCGGATCTCTGTCTCTGTTTTCCTTCGCATTCAAATTAGCTATTTTGGCTTGCATACATCCACATCCCAATTATATATTACGGTTGGCGTCTCTATGGTCGTACGCATAAACACACAGGAATGCAAAATGCTTTATAACAAACGCTAAATAGCTTCAGAAATGATGCTATATAAGGGTGATGCCGGCGGTAAAAGCGCATGCAGCATTCAATTCAATAGAATTGGGTTATTTGTTCTCGAACCTGATTATATTTTGCGAACAATACGCAAATAAATCAATGGAATCGGATGTGTATGCTGTGTATAACGCGAACACTAAATTGGAATACATAAATTTTAGAAACCAATGCAGACAAATAAATTGCCCGAAGCTACAATCGATTCAGCCAATTGAACACACAACAGGCAATGAGTTGATACACTTAATTATGGCATTAATTTTTCCGGTTTATATGTATGCTTTGCCATATTTTCGTTAGGGATGTCTCTCCTTGGTCTTGCTACAATTTTTCCACTACTTATTTTGAAGGCCATTTCATCCAAAATTACTTAACTCTTTTTTAATAAAGAGGAACTATATGCAGAATAAAAACAGTGACAATGAGCCAGAAAAATACATGTAATAGCTAAATCTTCAGGCGGTGTTGTGGATCATCATTATGCACATCAGTGTATTTTTTTTTTCAGAAACACCCTCAACCAATTTTACATGAACATTTGTTGTGCGGAACAATACACACACTTCGTATAAGGAGCATTTTTACACTCCATTTTCGATGTATCATCTAAGTGAAAAGTCGAGAGAGGGGATGCGGAGGGAGAGTAAAATACGATACAATAATTTATCATACACTTAATCGATGTCAACATGAGTCGTGGAACATTTTCCTCTCGCGTTCACTTGAAATCATTTTGAAGAGCCGAGTATAATCAACATCGCATCGTTTTTTGTGGCCCATTTCTCCACATGCAATTCGGCGAAAAAGGTAGTTGAAACCGGTCGCATCATCGAACGACTATTACTGATGTGCCACTGCCATTACTGCTTTTGATATTTTGCTTTACCGCACTACCTCAACGTGATGTACACCACTCAAAAACTCATAAAGTCTTAATGGACGCATACACGAAAAACTAATTTCCAGATGAATTATGCGTTGCTCTCTCTCTCTCTCTCTGCCTTGTTGCAAACTTCACACATTCATTGCTCTCGAACAAGAATCTCGACAAACGACATTCACCACCCATTGTAATTCTTCTGTTATAAATTATTTTGCGATTAATAAACGATGACAGCATCGTAGCCCGTATGAATAGCTCATTGCGCCTGATTGCTACCAAGCAGTGCCAGCAACGACAATGTATGGTCGAAATGAAATGAGGGCATACCGCTGGCGAATGCCACTGCGACTGCAAATGTGAAAGAAATGAGCAAACAAGCAAGTGTATGAGTGTTGTAATCAGTTCGTGGTTTGACTTTGTCGTTTCACATGGTTACCGTCTCACCAACACTGACACATCACTGTAAAGTTCAAAACTTTAACAGTTATCACTTTTTCGATTGACTTTTTCAAATCTATTAATATTGAATTTTCACATTTGCCGAACGTTGTCGCAACAGTTTTGATAAAAAAAAAGTACACTGTATTTCGCAGACACATATATTGTCAAATTCCATCGGTCTGCTGACAAGCTCGGTCGCTTATCATACTGCGAATGCCCTTTGAATTTTGTGTAAATTTCAATTTCCATTATGCATGAAGCTCATTTTGTGCGCTTTCTTCAGCACATTGATTTAATTTATTTTCTAGTTTGCATCATTGCCATTTTGTTTGTTACATTGTATATAGTGTTTTTGATTGGTGAGACAAAGTCTAAACCACGAGCTATGAAAACTCAAAAATTCACACTCGAACCGGTTGCAATGTACACGCAATGTTCTTTGGCGTGTTTCGCCCAAAACTTTTCCACATGAATAAATTATTCAAGCACACTGTGTACTAAGTTATTCCGACGTGTACAGTGTACACGGTCATGTTGCCTTTATGTTGGGAAAACTTTTTTGCAAGTGCGTTCGTTGAGTACATTTTAATTAAAATGTATTTCGGTTTAATGGTGTTGAAACAGGCTAAAGCATATTTACTTTTTAAAATGCACATACTTTTGTCTGTTACCTTGTCAATTGAACATGAAATTCATTTCTAGTTTTGTTGTCAGTTTGATTTCACCATGAATTTTCCATCCGCTTTAAATGAATGTCATCCAATGCCATCGTTGTTATTTCATTTAAAGTTATAACATTTTTATATAATTATTATGCACAATCTGCTTTATGTCATACGGCTTATGATGTACACTATAGCCAGAAAGTTTGAGATTAATTTTAAGAGAAATACGCTCTTTAAGAATATGAAGGGTTTACAAAATTGTTACGCTTTTATAGACTCAGGATACAAGTGAAGCTGCAAACCAAAAAAGTCAACAATTCAGCCCCATCATATCAACAACTTACATCACAAAGAACACACAAAAGAAAAATCAGACTTTTTTAGACAATGCATTGTCTAATTTTTAGTCATTGGATTTAGACAATAAAATATCTTAAATTTATATATTTCATCTAAAATAATAAAAAAAAGAGTCGAAAAGACGAATTTTTTTTTAATTATTTTAGATGAAATATAAAAATTTATGATATTTTATTGTCAAAATCCAAAAATTAGACAATGCATTATCTAAAATGTTCTTTTCCAATCGTAAATAATTAGACAGACAGGAAAATGATTTTTTGCAATTTAATCGCTGAAAAAATATGTGTGGCAAGTGGTTTGGCAAAATCGAATCTGATATTTATTCTAAAATTTCGACACTCTTCCCATAAAAAATTCAAATAATACATTCAAAAGTGTTCAAAAACTACAAAAAACTTCTGAGCGCAATGTTTGTTCGGTGATCGGTAAGGTATAATAATAAATTCAATGAGTGTTGACCAATCTCAATTGTATTTTAAGAATTTTTGCTCAATATACTGACATCAGTGTATGTTCTCTGAAAATGTCGGTCATTTTGGTTTGCTCCCGCACAATTACAATTAATTTTAAGACGTCATAGAATCTCAATGACTTGCTGAATATATTTTAGCAATATTTACAAATATATTTCATGGAAAGAGTTTCCTATTTGTTAAAAACCATATTGTTTAATTAAGTCTTTCAATAACGACGTTATTAAAACGTAAATGAAAGCAATTGTACTTTGTTTACAAAGGTGCAAAAAAGTGTGAATATCGATTACTCACATAAGAACACAACATTGAGTCAATATTATTGACGACATTAAATAAGAGTATATCTTCACATTTGGAAACTCATTAATTGTATTCCATTCATTCAATGATAAAACTGCAGATGCATCGCTCGTATTCGCACAGTAATTAAAAGAGTGAATATATTGTCGAATTGTTTTGAATAGAATTGAGCAAATGTCGCGAACAATTTATCTATGCTGGCTAGTTTTATTTGCCAAACTCTTTAACGGTGTATATTCGTTCCAAATGAGCACAAAGAGCTCCACCGAAAGTTTCTCTTCCGAAAGTCGTGATAATAATTTGATTTTTGTACATGTTGTGAGTAATATTTCGCAGTTTGTTTTGTTCACCTTGTTATTTAAACTAATTTTTATCTTGGAAGCTTTGTCGTCATGGCAGTAGAAATATTTTAAAACCATATCCAAATGATCCGTATAAAGATTTGAAATTTTGGCCCGGAGGATACGGCGAATTAAATCAGGTATTAAATAATATACTTAAATTGAATTTAGAAAAAAACTAATTTTATTTAAATTGATTCGAACAGATCGGAGTGCAACAACATTTTGAATTGGGTGGATATATACGAAGACGATATTTTGGCCTGTTTGGCAATGAAATTTGCTCTCCAAATCTCATATATGTTCGATCAACGGTTCGTTAAATTATAAGATATCTTTACACATGAATGTTTTTGAATTGAAAATTGAAAAAATGAACTGAATGTAATGATACATAAAATCTTCTGCAGGATACGAATCGTGTTATAAACAGTGCAAAAGCAAATTTGATGAATCTTTGTAATGAAACTATCCCAGTGCATGTAGTGCCACATAAAAATGATAATATACTAAAACGTGGTGGAAAGTGTGATCGTGGTGATTACCTTTGGAAAAAATACAAAAAATCTTCTTCATATTTAAAGCTATTCAAAGGGCATGAGTTGCTTATCAAATACTTGGAGAAGCATTCAGGCAAGCGTCGATTCGAAATAGACAATATTCACTCTTTGTACGATACCTTATGGGTTGAACAATTCAATGGAAAACGGTTTGTAAATTTATGCTGAGAAATTTTTAACCGTGTGATCCATGGATCGCTTGGCCAAGCAACATTTTGTAAATGTATATGTGATTTTAGTTTGCCATCATGGGCGAAAAGGGTTATGGTGCCAAATGGCGAATTTGAAAAACTCGCAGTAACTAAATTTATAACATTTACGCCCACAACTGAACTGAAAATGCTGAGATCCGGATATTTATTAAAAGAAATTTTGGATCGCTGTAAAAATAAAACTCTATCCGAACTATCACCAGATCAATCTCAACGAATGTATATGTACTTTGCCCATGACTTTACGGTAGCAAATCTATTGAATAGTTTGGGTCTTTTTGCAGAAGTATTATTTCCCAATTATAATTTAATCATTTTATTAATCGGTATATTTTTCATCATTCCAGCCATATCAGCCGCCTTTTGCTTCATGTATATTTTTTGAGTTGTACAATGGAACGAACGGACCGTATCTCAAGATTTTCTATAGAAAGTCAGCAGATGAAGACGAACTTTCACCGTTGGAAATTCCAGGCTGTGGCACAGAATGCTCCTTGAAAAAATGGTATAAGATATACAAAGATATCCTACCAACAAAACCGTTTGATGATGCATGCAAACTATAGCATAGAAGTAAGGAAACAAAAGAATAACTTAAATACTTTCAGTAAAATGTCATATAGATTTTTGCATTAAATATTAAATTAAGCCTGCCAGATTTTTTTTTTAGTCGATCCGGGCCGGATTATC